AAGCTCCCACCTGCCTCCTCCACGCTGCTGCCTCGGTAGGCGGCTCCCCGGGAGCCGGTGCATGCTGGGAGTCAGCTTTTAAGCTGGTTCCCCATGCATAGCAGACCCCATGGTGCTGCCTCTATCAGAGGCAGTAGTGTGGGGCAGCATGTGGCTTCCCCAAGAGCCGGACCCCATGTAGCCATTTGAGTAACTGATAAACTCCTCCTTATCAGTTACCCATTCACACAGATACTCTCTTACATCCCTAGCAAGGGCAGCTCTCATCAAGTTAAAGTGACCTGCAAGCCTGCCCCTTTAAGCAATGGAAGTCTGTGGCAGAGATCAAAGGGGCTGTAGCAGCAGACTTGTGGGAGCTCCCAAAGGACAGGCCAGCCACAGGGCTTGTGCCAGCTGCTTCTGTTTGATTTTAAAATGCTCCCTGGCCCAGGAATGCAACACTAGCACGTTCCACGCCCTGATCACTATGGTGGGCGCAAGAGCCTTCTCCTTTGCAACATCTGCCCTCTGAAATAGCCACCTTGGATTATACATTCTTGGCCATTTCTGCCTCTGGTTATTATTTGGCGCTGCAAAAGCGCCTTGGGTGTCCATTTACAAGGCGGGTGCCCTGCAAAAATCCGGGGTCAGGGAAGAGCCCGCTTTGCTCTGCTCCCCAGGAATAGAACTGGGCAGTTTGCATGCAGAAGGCAAAGCAGGACCAGCCCTCCATGTTTAATTGCATCGTCCAGGCACCAAACAAAGCCACCCTCGCAAAGCTCAGGGGTCATACGCAGATTTCAACAAAGGAACCTCATAAGCCAGGCAGGGCACAGCATAACACAGCTGCTTCGCAAGACATGCGGCTTCAAATGAAAGTGCCAAATGCAAGGCGGGGAGGGAGGGACACCAAGCCGAGAATTCACCCCAAAAGGCAATAAATGCCAGCGCGCACCACTAACGCATCTAACCTTTAAAGCCCAATGCTGCTCCCACCACTATGAATGGGAATTCTGCTCCTAACTTCATACGAGTGTTGTTGGATCTAGCGATGTTTAGCCCAGGGGTCTCCAACCCTTTGACGCAAGAGATCACTTTTTGAATTTAAGTGCAACCCAGGATCTACCTCACACCCAAATACCTTTGTCCCCGCCCCCCCGCCCCCGTTGTTCCCCTTCTCCGAGGCCCCGCCCCTGGCTCACTCTGTCCTCCCTCCCCCATCCTTCCTTCCTTCCTTCCACCAGGCTGGGGCACAGGCTCTGGTCTTGGGGATCTGGAGTGTGGGAAGGGCTCTGAGCTGAGCCAGGGGGCAAGGGTTGGGGGTGCAGGAAGAGGCTCAGGCTCGGTAAGGGAGTTTGGGTCCAGAGGGCCTAAGGCTAGGACAGGGGCTTAGGGTGCAGGAAGGGGGTTCATGACTGGGGCAGGGGTTCAGAGCTAGCTCAGGCTGGACCCTGCTGACCTCAGGTGGCTCCTGGGTGGTGGGGCAGTGTGGGGCTAAGGCCCTGGCCCTGCACCACTCTCCAAACTCCCTCCATCCCAAGCCCTGTTGTTTCCCCCCTCCTCCGTTCTGTGGAGACAGGGCACCCTGACATCAGCGCCCTCTCCTCTGCTTGCTGCCCAGAGCAAGATTCCCAGGGAGGGGCAGCTCCAAGGCAAAGGGCAGGAGATGAGCAGCAGTGAGGGAAGGGGTCGCTGAAGTGCTGCGCTTGACAGCCTCTTGGCCACACCAGTCAAGATCACTGTCAGAGGCTCCAAGATCGACCAGGAGATCCCGATCGACTGGCTGGTGACCAGGGGTCATGTAGGCAGGGGAGAATCTCAGATGTCATTGTTTCTGGCCCTTCTGTCCACACAGAAAAGCCTGTGACAAGTATGACCCACGAACGGCTCAGAAAGGCGAAGGAAACAAGAACCTCCCCCCCCACGCACACCCCCGCCAACATTTTTCGATCTCATGCTTTTTGTAAAGCAGTCAAGCAAGCATCTGGAGTAGACGACTGACAAGCATCTGGAGTGGATGACCTTGCCCATGCAAAACCATCACTTGAGCTGCTGAAGGAGCTTAGTCCAATGCGTCGGGATGCAATTACAACAGCTACGTCATTTTTTTTTTTGCAAGTGCCTCTTCACCTACTAATTATAGCCCGCTGTAATTTAACTATCCAATAAAAAAATCACCCCGAGGATCTCTATTTTTTCCTCCTATTTGAAAGCAGAAGGGAATTTATTTCAAATCTATGTACAGAAAACAAAATTCCCCTTATCCATGGCTTTCCATGCAGGACATTAGAATTTTATCATCCAGCGAGTTCCATGGTAAACATCACGTTCTGTTCTCAGTATCCCACAGAACTGTGCTAGGCAAACAGAACAGGATGCTCCAAAAGCCACCATTTGCCTGGACAGCTCCATCTGAAAGCACCTGCAACCACTCATAAAAAAAACCCCATAAACGATCCTGCAATTTACTGATGTTATTTGGTGGAGAGACACATGATCGAGCTGGAAACCGAGGACACAGACTTGTCTGTTTCAAGCCTCTTACATCTAGCACCAGCTTCCAAATGGCACAGGGCTCTTTTAAGAGAGCGCGCCCCATTTGCAAACAGGGAAGCTTACACAGACTATCCAAATTGCACACTTAGATGTTCAGCTCAGTAGCTAGGGTGAAATTAACCCTGTGCTGACACCAAGCACATGGCTGATACATCCCATAAGTTGCAAGCGTTCCAATCCTGCAAGGACTCATTCACATGCTTAACTTTGTGCATTCCCAGTGCACTAGATTAAGCACAGGTGTATGTCTTGGCAGGCTTAGGTCATTAGAGGCGCACAGGCATTGTGTAAACCCTCAGCTTGGGGCAAATGTCTCCCCATAAACCCCCTAACACAGCCTCCCGTGCCAGGAAACTAGGCCCACAGATCTCACTTTAAAACAGAACGAAAGACTTCACCCCCTTTTGCTTGCTAAAAGCTGATTTACTCGAGATCAAATTTGAATTTCTGACTCTGCAAGAGAGAGAGAGAGAGAAATCAGCTGTAAGACTCCATCAAGTTCCACTTTCAGGTTCTGTGAAAGGACTCATTTTTCCCGTTCGACTCTAATACGTTTGGCATTAAGTGCTGACAGTTCTGCCCGGGTGTTCTGCCAAAGATAAACCATAGACGCATCGCTTCTTTTTAAGATACTTAGGATTTACTAGGCAGGAAAAGGAAAAGGTTTCCAGCTCTCACTCTCATCCGCACAATCCCCCAGAAAATTCACAGCAGTAACGAGGCTGTTATCAAATGAGTAATAAAATGAACTGAACCACATATTGGAGGACAAGAGGGTCAGAAATCTTCTGGACAGGAGTCACGCTCCAGGGATTAAGTAATTGCTGATCATTGGAGTTAACATGCTAGAATCACATTTGTTTCGTGATGGGAAACATCATATACAGGCTGAAGGCCACGCTTGTTACTCAAATCACTCCCAGAAAACACTTTTGGGAGGACTCAGCAAAAGAGCCGAGTACCCCTGTGGAGACAGCCAGAAAGGGGAGGCTTGATTTAGTACATAAACCAATCAATTACTGAACGGATTTGATGGATGGGAGCAACTTCCCAGCCAACCACCCCGCTGCAGGGTGCATAGATGACATGACTTTGCATGCTTACTGCAGCAGGCTTTACAACTTGGCTAATATAACCCAGGACATGGGAGTTATTATTGGAACAATAAAATCCAGGTTGCACAGACGTCCCCAACTGCCCTTTTTAAAAGATAACTGGCTCGTGAAATGAATTACTCGCCCAGCGCAACTAGAAAGGGGGTGTGAAGAACCCAGAGTGTTTCATTTTAAGTTCTTCAAAGCAGGTTTAGCTGCCAAATTCACACTTTTAAAAAAGAAAAACGACTAGGGATGAAGTTTGAGCTCCCCTCACATGCGTCTCACACACACATACGTGAAAGACCAAGCAACCCAGCTGTGGTCCTTAAGGAGACGAAGTTTTTTCTCAGCTATGCTGAGGTTGCAAAAGTTTGTGTTTCCTTATAAGAGTGGCGAGGAGTCACTCTTATAAGTTTCCTTATAAGAGTGAAATTTTGCAGGGGGTAGGAGTAGAAGGAGCTGGAGAGAATGAAAGCATTCCAATGCAGCACAACGCCTGCAAACTCCAGTTTGCTGGGACGTTTCCAGTTGCAAGATGCAGACAAAACAGGAAGCAACAATAAAGCAGGAAAACAACCCCATGCGTCCATCCTTGTAGACAGCCCCTTTCAAATGACGGACCCGATTCGGATCACCTGTCCGCACTCGGTTGGAAGCCTTTGACTCTAGCTCTAGCTGCTCGTTTATGCCAGCGTACAAGGAAGCAGAATCAGGCCGGTTTCTCCAGCTCTGTCCCCTTGTTTTCAGAGATCAGGTCAGAGCAAACTGTTCCAAAGTGCAGAATCTGAAGTGTCCCGCATAACCCTCCCAGCTCTGTATCCCTTCCCGCCACTGGCCCTACCTTCTTGGCCCTGCAAATGAAAGCCCGGAGCCTTGTGTGACATGTTGAAGGGGCATGCACCCACACCACCAACCAGTGGTGAAAGGAACTTAAAATTTCGTACAGGTACTGTCCTATTGCACCCCAGGGCCATGCCAGCTCTTTCAATAGCTCCCTGCTGGCTTTTTGCTGCAGCTCAGCCAACCTCTTGTCCAAACAGTGCACCAGGGCAACCCCACTTACTGTCACCTCTACCACCAACCCACATCCCTCTGACCCACTGATTCTAATGCCCTGGCTCTCCGAGGGGAAGCATTTCAAGTGGACCCCACAGGACCTGCAGCCCGCGCGGATGCTGGGGGCTCAGAAAAAGGCAGGGGCTGCGTGGATCGCAGGCTTTTCCAGTTCACTGCTCCCCTGTCCTACAGAAATCAGGTCGCAGGCTGCCTCGCTAGAGGACTCGCCCCCCACCACAACTTTTGCTGCCGCAATAACTATTGCACGTACTACCCCGCCGCACGCCTCCCAAGTCCCGGCCATGCACGCACCTGCCCAGCAGGAGAACTCTCCCTCGTGCTCATTAGTTTAATTAACCAGCCAGCGCTGCCCTTGCCTGCGCATCTCCCTCTGCACAGCTGCAGCTCCAGTGGGGGGAGGAC